CAGCGCAGGGGGACGTCACCTGCTGAGCATCCCAAAAGCCATAAACCCTGTTTCACTGCTGTCACCCTGGCCAGGCACATCCCAGCTCACTGGGACCCAGTTAAGAAGCCTCTGTCCACCCGACCACATGGGTGGCCGGCATGGCCACAGCTGCCATCTGACCCCACCCCGCCCACCACACGTAGCACTCAGCCCCTCCAGCATCCGGCCATGGGCCCAGCAGTCAGAGGACGTCCTGGGCTTTGGGGAAACACAATCAGAGCCCACCCACAGAGAGGCTTTAGAGGGGAAGCGTGCTCAGGAGGGTGTGAACGTGTCAGAAAGGAAACCCCAGACGTCGCTCTCAGAGGGCCTCACGATGGGAAGTGGCTGTCCTGACAAGGCTGTCCAGGGACCTCACCCCGTGGCTGTCCAAGGACCTCTCCCCGGGGCTTTGGTTTCAAAGCTTGGCCCAAGGAAGGGAGGAGACATCTGGAAATGGGGAGCATGCCTGATGAGACCCCAGAAATAGGACCATGGAAAGTCTCCCTGAAAATTCTCAAGAAGCACCCCAAGACCACAGTTTGGCTCTGAGCAGCGGGTGTCCCAAGTGGCAGTTCCAACACAAGGTAGAACTTCATTCTCTTTCAAATGAAGGTCTCAGTAACCGAGGCTCCTCTCTGCATGCTCGGCAAGGTCCCAGATGGCTAGTCACCATAGCACAGCCGCATTCCAGCTGAGGGGTACGCGGGGGGCCAGCCAGCACCCTCTCCTGGGGACAGGCTCCGGTTACACACAGCGACTCCCTGCACCTCCCTTTAGCCCCACGGGAGCGCTAGACCTTCTCTGTCTGGGAGGAAGGGGTGGATGGAGCATGGGAACAGCCCATAGCCTGCCAGAGTATGGGTCCAGAGGTCCAGAGATGGTGTCTCAGTGAAGGGGACACAACAGGTGACAGCCCAGCCCAGCCTAGCCTGCCTTGGAGCTGACACCCCTCCCACAGCCTCTCCACAGTGGGTCTCTGTGGATCTAATCCCTGGGGTGGCCTTCCCTGACTCAAGACTACAGCAACCTGGTCCCCGGGCCCCCATGACCAAATGAGTTTATCTTCTTTCATGGGTGACGACAGGCTCTCGGTGCCATGATCCACCCCAGCCTTCAGTCGGCCCAGGACCATGGCACACAGGGAGGTCTCTGGACTCGAGCTGGGCACCTTCCCATGTGGGATGGCCTGGGGAGAACCCTGTTTCACTGCTGTGCCATCTGTCCCCCTCTCCGTTTCTTTAACGATGTCCCCTTCCCCAGAGCAGGAAGCGGGATGACGAAGCGGCCTGTGCTCATGGGGCCCTGAGCATCCTTTGGTCTGGCCTGGGCAGGTGCAGGAGACAGAGGGGCCATTCCCAAAACAGGGCTGAGGCTGGAAGGGGCCATCAGGTCACCAGGAGCCTGCTCAGCTCAGCGTCGTCACTGTCACCACCCTGGGACTCTAAGAAGCCTGCCTTGAACCGTCCCAGGCCCCTCCCACCTGTTTTATCTCCTTCCTGGCAATGGTGTCCCTGTGAAATGATCCCTATGCTTGTCACCTGCTTCCTCTAACTGACGGAGCCCCACGGAGGGCCCTGTCTCCTGTCCCCTGCTGTGTCTCTAGCACCTGGAGCTCTCCTGGGACATCCTCATTAAAACCCTAGTCAAGTGAGGGGCCTGGGGTGCAGGCTCCTGCCCCACCCCTGCAGCCTGGTGCTGAGGGGTAGGGGTGGGGCAGTGGGAGGAGGGGGCCAAGCACAAGGCACAGCGCAGGGCAGGAGCAGGCAGAGCTGGCCTGTTCCTCAAACATGGCCCACGCAGCAGGGGTCTGTCCCCTCAGGTCTGGGAAGAAGTCCTTGGATTATGAGAAGTGGAGAAGCCCAGAAGCCACCGACCTCGGAGGGTCCTTGGAGGGAGACTCACTCCCTGGGAAGCCTGTGCCCACAGGGCACACGTGAGCTTCTTTTAAAGACAGTGTGACTGTGGGGGGCCCCACCTGGTCATTTTGCTCCCCCATCTGCAGCATCAGCAGTGAATACTGGACAACTCCTACTCACCTCTCAGCCCCAGCCTCAATGGACCCTCAGACACCCTGGTCCTTCCTGCCTGTGATTGGCTCTCGGGGGCTTCGGTAGGTGCAGGAGTCCTGTGTCCCAGCCAGCACTTCCATGGGGTCCCGTAGTGCCACTGCCTCTTCCCCAACCCCGGCCACCCCAGGCCCAAGGAACCAACTCCCCTGCCCGGGCCCAGCTGGGACCAGTACCTGCTTGTTGATGAAGGCGCCCCTCCCCAGGAGGCACTCCTCCCTGCTCAGCAGCACCCCATCCCGTGTCTGGGGCTCTCGCCGGCAGCCGGCCTCTGGCACCTCATCGCTGTCCAGAGTCAGGAGTCGAAAAACCGACGCAAACTTGAAGTCTTCAGGCCCATTGACCCCGCAGCAGCCAAACTAGGAACAGAGCGAAGGGAGAAGGGATGGAGCCGGCCCCCTGGTGGTGGGCGATAGCCGCTGTCTAGCTGAAGCTTGGACCCAGCGCAATGCTACTGAGGGTGGGGGGCCTGTAGGAGGTGGGTGCAGTGGGTGTGTACGGATCGAGGGGCACCCCCTCCTGAAGACATCATGTAGGCTAGAGAGGGCGTGGTGCTTGCTCTCACGGAGCGGTCAGTTCTCGAGAGTGGCTGTTATACTGGGTCACTGGAAAAGTCATGACATGTTTTTGCATTAAAAAACATAGAAAAGTATATCATGCCTTTTCTGAAAACCCAATAAAAGCAAGACTGTGCACACACCCCCCCCCCAGGCACTCTCTGCTCCTGCCCACTTCCTTCCTTCTGCCGGCTGTGTTGTGACATAGCACCAGATGACGGAATACCCTTGGACTTTCTGGCCCTCAGACACGTGAGTCCAATAAACCTCCATTCACAAACCACCCAGCCGCAGGTAATCCAGTTTAGCAATGCTATTATGGACTAAAAACAGCCAAACAGCCTCTCCAAAGGACAGGGGCAGAAGACCAGGTGTGGACTGGCTCCATCTGCCTCTCCTGTGTGGCGGTGGGGAAGTCACTCAGCCTCTGTGCCTTCAGTGTCCTCTCCGTAACATGGGGGTCAGTGGTTCCTGTTTGAGGGGATTATTGGGCACTTAGAAAGCACCCAGTGGCCAGTTGCTGTGGAGGACCAGATCCAGGGTCCTGCCCAGGGTTCATCCCGAGCTGGAATGGATCCGCCTGGTGAGGGCTGCCGGAATGCTGTGTGGACATCGGTGCGAGGTGAGTCTGCGCTTGGGAGGAAGAGTGCCTGACTGATTATCAACATCTGGCAGAGAAAATCCAAGAGGCCAGGCCTCGGCTACGCTGGGCGTCCGGGGCGGTCACCCACCGTGATCATGACGGAGTTCCAGGTGGCGGAGAAAGCGTCCGTGTCGTTATTGCCCTGGTAGTGCTTGCTGAGCTCCTTGGTGAAGAATTCGCGGGTGAGCTGGGGGCAGAGGAGAGCGGGGGCTGAGACCTGGCCGCTCACACCACCCTGCCTCCTCCACCTCTCCGCCTCTGCCTAGGGCTTCGGGAGGAGGGCCGGCTCTGTGTCCTGGTGCCAGGCCTCCTGAGACTCTCCTAAGCTGTCTCTAAGCCCCTCCCCGAGGCCTGCAGCCCCCCACCCCACCCCCATGCTGCTTGCTCAACAAAGTGGAAAGTCTACACACATATGCCCAGGCACCCACAGGGCCAGGGCACACTGGGGACCTGGCTGGGCCCTGTGGCTCCCCTCAAAGGAGCTGATGCTTGGGGTGGGCAGCTGGAACCTCTGGGAGAGCAAGCTGCCCAAAGAGGGTCCCAGCCGGGGCCTGGGCCGAGAGCGCTCTCCCTGTGCCCCTCCGTGGCACACACTCCAGGGCTCTAGGACAGCCTGAGTCTCCTCAGATTGCCCAGCAACGTGGCTGAGCAAGGTGCGGGAGGGAAGATTCCAGAACCCGGTGTGGGGCTGCACCAGATGCTCCCGAAAGGGCCTCCTGACTCTGTGATGTCCTGGAAAAGCCGGGGTCTCTGGGGCGTGGGGCCTTGCTGGGTTGCGATTTGGGCTGGAAGGGCTGGATGAGAGGCGGCGGGCTCTGTGGGGCCCTGGGAGGAGTGGAAGGGCTGACCTGAATGGCCAGGAACCCGCAGGAGAGGCCCGGGGCCTGCCGGTACGTACGTTCTCCCTGAAGATGAAGGCCAGGATGGCGGGCGAGAGGTCTGC